CTGTATGTGACAATTAAAAAGTTGTAACCTTGTAGGTATCTGTGTTCCCTAAACAATAAAAGTCTCGGAAAAAGTATTTCTATGTTAGCACAGCATTTTAATTTCAAACTACAATTCTCCAGTTTCGCTGGAAAATAAATCAGTTTCATCGATTGGGGTCACTTTATGGTTTATAAATAAGTAATATTACGTTCATTATCATCATCATCTAACTCATCAAGGACTGACTCATCACCAGAGGGATCTAATTTCATATTATATTTTATTTCACATTGAATTATTTATTGATTCACTAATATTTATGTATACTCCGCGGTCGAAATTATAAAGAGTGACTAAGACATAATATAAAAACACTATTACCATAATGCGTATAAAATATAAAATGATTTTTATACGGTTCAATATTCTTTATCTTTGTGTCGCTCGCTACGCACATCGATAGAATCTATAATCGTCTAGAGACCGAGTTACACTGAACGTCGATCTATATTCTATCTCTGTTTTTTTGCACTTGGTAGGGAATAGGAAAATGCTTTTTTAGTGGGTGTAAACGGACTTGATTTAACCCGTCCTGAGAAACGTCATAGCATAAGCGTAGACGAGGGGTCTAATTCCATGGCTATAATAAATTTATAAATTAAGAAAACACAATTGGGACGTTTTAAAATGCTGTAATAATTAAAATGGAACAAAGTGCCTGTTATAGCAAACCGTAAAAAATATTAGATGTTATGTTTTATTATCTTTTTTCATTATTTTTTATATCTTGTTGCCTTTTACGCAGACACGCCAATGGATTTTCGTTCCAGGCACGTTTCATCCCCCTTACTAGTCCAAAAGCTAGCGATGAATCACTTTCTATAATTTCGACCGTGGAGTATAGAAAGTTAAATTTTGTAAATAGTTGACGTCAGTACCCATTTGCAAATGAATAAAAAAGGTCACAATACAATAAACATATTGTTTCATTTCTCGAACGCAAGAAAAAACATTTTTATCTAGGAAACATACTTGCGTTGCGATACATGTCAAATTGATATAAAATATTTATTTTTATAAATATCTATACTTGTTGTTTTATCTGAAAATATTTAATTTAAACAATACTTCTCATCAAGACTGAAATTTCCGGTTTCTAGTAAAAAACAATACAAAACAGACCGATTTCTATTCCAGTATATCATTTTAAAACAATGAAAAGTTATTACAAGGTTCTACATATCATTGGGTAAAGGATAGACAGTAATAAAAAAGCACAAATAAAATGAAGTAACCAAATATTTAGCAAGTGTCATATAAGTAAGTTCGGTTTTTATTCTAAAAAACCAATGGTTATTTGTTCACAGAAGGTAATTTTTACTCTGTTGTCTTCTAATAAATAGTTAGTTGAGCAAAGTTTCATTCATGTTTTGGATTTTAATTCTATTGATTTGAAATAGATGTCGCACCGGGAAAAAATAGTTTATGGATGAATGCTTAAACTATTTTTAATGAGCAACCACTTATTATGATTAGTTTGATAAACTTAAATAGATTGTTAATCGATGCATATTAATAATTTATTAGTGGAAAATAATCATTTACTTCTATTTGTAATCATAAAGAATTAGACCAGAAAACAAAAACATCGACAAGCGAAATTTTTTTTAAGACCATTCAAACGAATTTTCTACTATGCAATTCTTAAGCATCTAATGATCTAAAGTATAAACCAGAATCTGCAAAATAATTCTTTTACATGTATCTAAGTAAGACAAATCTATGTAATAGGAAATGTGCTTTCAATGGCCATGAAATTCTATATTACTAGTGAAAATTTTTCTCACTCAGAAGGTGAACTAAAGTGAGACGCAGCAGCTGAGCTGCATTAGATATTAATAAGAACGCATGTAACCCTGAAAGGTATCACATCAAAGATGACTAGGCTTTCGAAGGTATCAAAGTAGTGCCTCTAAAATGAATAAAATAAGAGACATAGTGATATTGAATAAAGAAGTCATTTTACTACTTATATTGTATTTCTGTTTTTGATAATTTTCCATGGTACACTTGTATTACATATTTTCAAAGGCCAATATTCATGGAAGCAGTTGACTTTACTGAAAAAAAATAAACAATTTAAATCAAAACTCATTTTGTGTTTTTACTGGATGTCCCAAATTGTAACAATTTATACATTAACTATTAGTTCAGTCAATGAACATTTTCCTGTATAAATTTGCCAAACAGCACCGATTTTCATAAAAATTTGGATTTAGGTTCTACTTACCCTCTACTTCAAAGATGACCTTGTACCGGAGGTTGCTTTTACCCTGGGGGTGGTAGGGGTGGCCCCTTCTCGGGGGTGAAAAATGTTTCATTGAAAATAACTTCGGGAATGGATATATTGACTAATTCTAAGCAACTTTTGTTCTATAAAGTTTTTCTGAGAGTCAATAATTTTCGACTTATTCGTGAATAAAAGTGTAAATTTTTTATAAAAAAAAACACTTTTTCAGACGTTTTTTCGCGAATAACTCAAAAAGTAAGTATTTTATAAAAAAAATAATTCTTATAAAAAATGTAGCTTATAAAAAATAAAAAGAATGGTGTATTTATGGTGTCTGTAGACCCAATACAAGCGAAGTAATAGCTTGTTGAAGGTTGGTTCTTATTCGTCAAACGCCAAAATTGAAAGTTTGAACGTGAAATAACCAAAAACCAATGCATTTTTCAGGGAATACTCATAGAACCTTTTTTAAAGTGCTTGAAAAAACCTTTATTTTTATTTTTTATAAAAGTCCCTAGCATCAAACCTAAGCGAGTTATGACGAAAATAAAGTTGGTCCATATTTTTTTCGGCGACAAAAGACGTGAAAATCACCCCCTAATTACCACCCCAATTTGAAAATAATCGTTACCACTTTACAATTTACTTTACTTATGTAATATACTCTAGAACAAGGGTCGGCAACTGGCGGACCGCGGTCAGGTCCGGACCGCGGACGGTAAAATACTGGACCGCCAAAAATTTTTTGAAAGTATAAATTACTCAAATAAATTATTTAAAAAATGTTTTTTTTACGTTTAAGTGCCAATCTTATAATTTTTTCTAGTATTTTACAGTTGTGTGAGTGTGTGAGTTCTTAAAGGTTAGTAAGCAGATTAAATTTGAGTCCAAATTAAAATAAAAAAATAATATGAATTTTTTTTGGACCTCGTTAAAAATTTTCAAAAGTATCCGGACCCCACCTAAAATTACTTGCCGACCCCTGCTCTAGAAGTTTGACCGGTTTAAAGTGCTTAGTTTTGAAAAAAGTTGAGCTTGAAGTGAAAAGAGAATTTTTGTATTTTTGGATAAAATTGTCTTTTCTTCAAAATAACTCAAAAACTGTTAATGATATGCAAAATTTTGTAGAGTACAAAATTGTAGGTTTTGCTTTTTTGAAAATTTTGTTATTTTTCTTTTTCTGTAGGATAAAAATTAAGTAAGATATGGCCGCTTAAAGTTTGCATATGTTCGTAAATAGCAACTTGTTCAAGCCCTTTCAGCTCAAACCCTTACAAAAATAAGGACTGAAAGAAAAGTTAATTTATTTGATCTTATAGCTCTTGAAAAACCCTACAAAATGGGTTTTTGAAGGGCTTGATAGCATAAAAACTAAGCGAGTTGTGGGTAAAAAACCAATCACATATTTTTGCAGATATCAGAACATGTATATTGAAGCTTTGATGAATACATATTATAGTCCAGGCGATACTTATTTAGGGTTGGGTAAAACGCATATGATCGGAGATTTTTGCTTTAACGGCTTCTAAATAACATCAGAAATGATAATATTTCTATGCAAATAAAAAAAAACGTGGGCTTAATTGTTATTGCCAAAAAGTATAAAAAAATAGCAAAAAAATTCATTTTTTTCTTGGATTTCTCGTAGACAACTTAGCAACTATTCATTTTAGACAAAAATGGAAGAGGAAAAAAAGTTTTGTAATTAAATTTTGTAGAAGATATAGTTAATTGCAATTCGAAAAAATAATGATTATTGTTGCAAAAATCGGAAAAATCATTTAAAAAATTGTAAAAAATGCTAGTTTATTTGTCAATTTTTTTCAGACACTTGAATAATACCTAAGATCTTCATACTTTTCCCAATTAAACTTCTTAGTGCATAGATTCGTCACACCAAATTTCATCCAATTCGGTTCGATAGTTTTTACATACTAATTGTTTAATTTTTTTATTTTTTTTAAATTTAAAAAATTTTCAAAATCTAATTTCTAAAAATCTAAAGGCTTCGAATAGTTGAAAATTTCACCACAAGAAGAAGAGCTGTCAAGCTTTAAAATGCTTTTTGAAACATTCAAATCGGAGGGTTAGGTGAGCCGTGGTGATTGTTTAAACATTTTCGCAATTTTCACGCTTACAAACAATTGCAATAATTTAATGTTTTTTTTCAAATGTTTTTTTATATTAAAATAAATGATAAAATTTCGATGATTTTTTTTAAATCGATGTCTCGCAACTTAAAAAATTCAATTATCATATTTTCAACTACCTTTTATTATTAATTATTGGACTTTTGACATGCCGGTAAACAATTACTTTAAAAAATGATTAATTTATTATGTTTATTTATTTACTATGTTAATATTTACGACCAAAATTTTTGCATGTTGCACCAGGTAATACTAGTAAGTTTGTTTAAATATTATAAAATTGTATAAACAATAATTATTTTAATAAACAACTGAAAATTGGTATTAATTTTTAGTTGTACAATAAATTTCTAAAAATAAATTGTGAATAATTATAATTTTAATTTTTTCGTTTACTTTTAAAATATTTATCTAAAATTTATTTTTTATTTATATAAAAAAAGTATAAGAATCTTTTGGATACTTCAATAAACAGTACACACTTATCATGATTTTTCAAATTTTAAACTATTTATTTCAATTTTTATTTACATTTAATCTAATCTAATTCTTTTACTAGTTGGTGATTTTTCACATGCCTCATCAGTATTATCACAATCTATTTCGTCGTCGATTTCCTCGTCCTGCAACTGCAAAATATCATTTTCTAACGAGTCTGAAATCTGATTGTTGATGTCTTCTTCAAAATCGATTTCGAACTCGTCTACTTTCACTGTTTTGTAAGCATTTTTACACATTTGCCCTTGGCAATGGGTGCGATACTCAGAGCGTTTTTGAACTCGAGAATTCAGATCGGAGTAGCTGTGTGTTTGCTCCCCCCACCACTGATATTTCATTGATTTCACGCGGTCTTGAATATCTTTGAGTGACATTTTAAACGGGACGCCCTTGATTGCAAATTTTGAAAATTTATATCTGGAAAGTACTCGGAATGACAAACCTATTAATTAAAAAAACAGCTTATACCCTTATAGTTTTGCTGTAAATAAGGGTTAACTTTAACGGGCTATAACTCCGAAAATAATGCGCGGATCATCAAGTTTTTTTTTTAAATACTCGTCTTACCGAGTACTTTCAAACCATATTTGAAAATAAAAAAAAATTAAAAACATTAAATTATTGCAATTGTTTGTAAGCGTGAAAATTGCGAAAATGTTTAAACAATCACCACGGCTCACCTAAACGTCCGATTTGAATTTTTCAAAAACCATTTTAAAGCTGGAGAGCTCTTCTTTTTGTGGTGAAGTTTTCAAATATTCAAAGTCTTTAGATTTTTAGAAATTTGATTTTGAAAATTTTTTAATTTAAAAAAAATTAAAAAATTAAACAATTATTATGTAAAAACTATCGAACCGAATTGGATGAAATTTGGTGTGATGATTCTATGCACTAAGAAGTTTAATTGGGAAAAGTATGAAGATCCTAGGTATTATTCAAGTGTCTGAAAAAAATTGACAAATAAACTAGCATTTTTTGCAATTTTTTAAATGATTTTTCTGATTTTTGCAATANTCCGATCATATGCGTTTTACCCAAGTACACCCTTTGAAAGACAGATACCGCCTGGACTAATTATAGCTATATTTTAGGAATAGAAATAGGAATTTTAGGAATAGAATAGAAAAGGAAGACGAGAGTGAAGAGGATTTTTGATTATTTATGTTATTTGCAATAAAAAAAAATTTTCATATAAAAATAAAAAAATTAAAATCCATATAAAGATAAAATTCATTCTTATTTTCCCTATTTTTGATTGCAAATTTTAATAAGTAGGGTTTCTTTAAGGTTTGATATAATAAATACATTACATTTTAAATAATAAAAAGATTGTATTATATTTTGAACTAAAAATTTTATTTAACTATAATTGTTCGATTTTTTTGCAAGGGGTGGTTTTTATGAGGGTTGAAACATAAATAAATAATAAAAAATAAAACAGTAAAGAAATCTTAATTTAATATCACTATTTAATAATAATCATATGATTAAATTATTCCAAGTTGCTGGTTTTCAGGAATTGAAAATTTTCAATTCATCATAATTACTTATTTAAAGATGATTTCAACCTATTACAAGCTCGAATATATAATTCTATAATTATTTTCGAATAGGGGTGGTTTTCACCACTAAAAAATAAAAAGCAACCCCCGGCACAAGGTCAACTTTGAAGTAGAGGGTAATAAAACCTAAATCCAAATTTTGGTGCAAATCGGTGCTGTTGGGGAAAACTTTACAGTAACGCCGTATTTTACCCTCAATGACTGGACTATATGTTGTTGGTGCATTTTGCACTGATGCATAGGTATATTGATTTCCCCTGACGAAATTGTAAAATTTAAGGTGAGATTAGTATCAATTCATATGCATTATTCAGGTGAAGAAGTGTTTTAAAACGGTTGCTCAGAAAAGACTGAGATACAAAAAGATTTGGTAAAAATTAATAAGATAGTTTATAGGAACACTTCAGTTGAAAAAATTAAAAATATATCAATTTTTAACATGGTGCATCCGGATTTGCAATATCTTCAGCTATATTTTTTTAATGTAACCTTAATTTCGACGTCGATTTGTGTTTAATTTTTCAGTAATTGCCTCGAGTAAAGTACAGTTTCTGAAAATTATTCAGTAGTTTTTAAGGAATTTGCAGAAAATTTGTTCCTTCAACTTTGGAAGGAATCGCATTAAAGAGAATGTCGTCGTCTGAAGTTTGATGTGATTATATTCTTGATGTACCTTATACTGCCGCTTCCTGCTTATTTTCCAAGATTACTACCAACATTTTGCATTATCGTGTAAAACTCAATATAGTTCGAAATAAGTTCTTGGGAACAACCAAGTTTACATTAATAGCGTCCCAGGACCTGTACTCTTATATCGGCGGTACGGACTTTACTCTTGCCTAGTGCCATAACGGGATATTAGATCGGCCATGCTTTTAACAAGATTATTTTTAAATCTACTTTTAAATTGAGTTCTGCGAAGGGCGTGGCATGTTCTTAAGAGTTCTGATTAAAGAGGAATGCTAATGGTGGATTAGTTTTGTTAGGTTTATAAGCTTTCTGAAATATCTACAATCGACATAATAAAGCTCATGTTATCGGTTTTTATATGAAGAAAACATGTTTTTGGCTAATTCTTAATCTAGTTATGTCTATCTATCAACTTGATGAGAAATATCATTTTCAATATCAGTATATAAAAATTGCAAAGACAATGTTGAAACGGCTTCAAGTAATGGTGTAAGGAAATTGAAGATTGAACTGATAATTTTTGAGAAATCTTGTAATAAACTTTAAAACTAAGTCGTTGGTATATACGTTATATCTGCGTATGGCGTAGTTTCAATAGAGTTTCTATCTGTATGTAAATTTGAACATATTTCTCAATAATGGAATGCTGTAATGCCCAGACGGCTCCGGTTGAGTAACTCGCACCTTCATCTCAAGACAATCACACAAATGAATGTACAGTCTACAATATTTGTTAGAAGAAATAAGCCAATAAAGTTTTGTTATCGGAACTACTATAACAATTTACCACGACTGGTGCATGCTTTGAATCCACATAATCATTACTGGCAAAAGTGGCTTCGGCAAATTTTTTTGAAACTTTGCTATGTGATAATTCTGAACGGATCATGGATCAAAAGTGTAAAAGTCTGACGGTCTTTTGTTTTCGATCTACTGCCCCTGAAAGTTTTTACCCCTTGCGCTGCTTTCCAACTTCCAGTTCCGCCCGAAAGTAGCCTATTCGGACCGGAAGTTAGTTTTTTTTAAATAAAATAGTATATTTTTTATTGCGGATTTCGATTCTACACCGACAAATGTGAAACTTTTTTAAGAAATTTTTCTTCTAATTGATCTAACTGGCGTACTTAAAAGAATTCTCGAACAAAACTCACCTAGTATTTTTCTGCGTTCAATCTGATCCTTAATAAATGGTACGCTTGTTGTGATTGAAAAAAAAAATGGATGCTATCTGATAAGGCACTTCCGGTGGAAACCGGAAGTGGAAAATAACCCTATGAGAGAATGTATTGCCTTAATATTGAATATGAAGGTTTATTCATGAAAGTTCGTTTTCCGGTCAACTTCAAAAGTGGCATATGAAGACGGTGTTATTGTATTGCACCAGGTAGACAACAGATGCTTTTTATCCCAATCTTTGATATATTTGGAAATTTACACAGGCACGTAAAATAAAAAAAGGTGACGTGTTACACTGATGAGACCTATGTCACCACTCAGAAATCTGCCACGAAAAATGCCCTATTTCCCTCCAGTCTTTCTTTAATTAATCTCGTTAGTCGTTATTCTTTAATCAAAAATCATCCTTAAAAAGTAGCTAAAACTATTCATATAGTAAGTCGACGCGTCATATTCGCTGGACTGTAATTCTTGGTTTGATTTTGTGACTTGAATGTGCTGTTTGTGGAATTTAGATGATTTTTGAGTCCCTCGAATATGAAGCTCAAGAGAAACCAACTTTGGTTGTTATCTGTGTTCCAGCGATCGTTTTTTGCAATAAAAAATTATATAGCATTTTCCATGATACATTAAGTTTCTAGAATTTAAAGTCCACAGAATGGCATGGATCACATCCCTGAAAGATACCACTACCTATTCTGTATGCCTAAGTTATTGTATAACAGGGTGTTAAAAGTTTGACTGCCTTAATTTTAACAGACGATAGAATACATTAAAATAAACAAAAAAACCTTATATGACATGGGTCCTAAACTCAACTATTTCCGAGAAAAAAAAACAAAAGTTCGATTAATTAAGTAATATTGACATAACTGCGTGCATAGAATACCATAAAATACAACGTTTCTCATTTTTTTAACCTGTTTATGCTTAATTCTAAAAAATAATTAGCGTTGTAATATAATTTAAATTTCGATAAATTTTTTTGTTCATTTATAATTACTCTGTCTCATGCTGAAGTAATGGCAGTCAAACTTCTTATACCTTATCTAATGGTTATCTACCTAATAAATTATTGACATTCGTTTTGATATTCGTGTTCATTTTAATCAAATGAAAGTGCAAATGCAAAAAGGAGTATGATCTTCTGATACAATTAAAATGTTAGCTGTTTGAGTAACTATTTCAAAGTTATAGTACCTAGATAGCAGATAAAAGTATTGCGAAAATTAAATAACTTCTGACAATAATGGACACAATATTTTTATCAATTGCTCTAAAAAGCCATTCTGGCCGTTATAAACCGGAAAGGCTTTATATCCTGTAGCATTCGTCAATTAAAATCCCATCCACAATATTGGGAAATGTTCGTTATTACCAATGAATGCAGTTGGCAGGAAAGTGGACTAACAGTTTTTTGGGAGGGTTGGCTACACACATGATATAAATCCATCAATCTATTTAAGGACTGTTCATTATTAGTTTCGTTATTTTAACACTTTATACCATGTTTTGAAATAAACAAAAACAAGTGTTATACAGGAAGTTTCAAGATTAATTAATCAAACCTACAATTTGAATTCGATTGGTTAAAATAAGAAAAGAAAGCCATAAAAAGGAATGATTTCGTTGAAAAAAATCATGTTTTCTAAAGTAACTCACATTTGACGTAGAATTAGGAAGTTTTGGTGAAAGTTTTATTTAATTAAAAGTAAAATTTCATTAATTTAATATACGTTTAATCAGTTGCGGAATATCAATAAGGCCCCCAGTATGTCGACGCCAC